CCCCTCCCCCCCGCTCTGCGCAGCGGGCGGGGCCAGGGCCAGGGGCGTGCAGCGCCGAGCACTGCGCGTCCTCCTCCTCGCCCGCCCTGTCATGGCTGTGCCCCGGTTACGTGGAGGTGCCCTGCTTTGATTGCAAAGGCCTTATTTGTATTTACAGTCACCCGCCTTTGGATTGGCGTGACGTCACCTTTATTGGCCTGACGTCACCGTTATTTGCATGGCGTCATCTTGATTGAAACGCCTTTATTCTCATTGGTGTGGCATCATCTTTATTGGCGTGGCGTCATCTTGATTGGCATGACGTCGTCTTTATTGGCGTGGCGTCATCTTGATTGAAACGCCTTTATCCTCATTGGCATGACGTCGTCTTTATTGGCGTGGCGTCATCTTTGTCTGCATGGCGTCATCTTGATTGAAATGCCTTTAGTCTCGTTGGCGTGGTGTCGTCTTTATCGGCGTGGTGTCATCTTGTTGGGCGTGCCACTCTTTTATTTGCATGCCATCATTTTCATTCTAATGCCCTTCTTTTTATTGGCATCATCTTTCTTGGTGTGGCGTCATCCTTATTTGCATGGCGTCATTTTTATTTAATTGCCCTTATTTTTATTGCCATGGCATCATTTTTATTGGTGTGGCATCATAGTTTCATAGTTGGTAGAGTAGGAAGGGACCTGAACAGATCACATCTGACCCCCTGCCCATCTTTATTTAAACCGCCTTACTTTTATTGGTGTGGTGTCATCTATATTGGTGTGGCATCATCCTTATTTGCATGGCATCATTTTTATTTAACTTCCCTTATTTTTATTGCTGTGGCATAATTTTTATTGGCATGGCATCATCTTTATTTAAACGGCCTTATTTTTATTGGTGTGGCATCATTTTTACTGGCGTAACATCATCTTTATTTGCATGGCATCATCTTTATTAAACTGCTTTTATTTTAGTGGTGTGGCGTCGTCTTTATTTAAACAACCTTATTTTTATTGGCATGGCATCATCCTTATTTGCATGGCGTCATTTTTATCTGCATGACATCATCTTTATTTGTATGGCCTCATCGTTATTTAAATGTCCTTATTTTTCTTGGCATGGCATCATTTTTATTTGCATGGCATCATTTTTATTTGCATGTCATCATTATTTAACTGCCCTTATTTTTACTGGCATGGCATCATCTTTATTTGCATGCCATTATTTATCTCCATGCCATTATGTTATTTGCATGCTGTTATTTTTATTTGCATGCCCCTATTTTATTTACACGTCATGATTTGTATTTACATCCCCTTATTTTTCTTTGCATGTCATTATTTTTCTTTGCATGCCTTCATTTTTATTGGCAGGGAGTTATATGTATTATTGATGACATGCAGTTATGAAGGGCCATCATGCACAGATTGCTTGTGCAGGTGCCACCACCCCCTCCCCTGGGCCAAATGCCTGCCCTTGCCCTCCAGCCTGACCCACGTGCCAGCCCTGGAGCAGCCACACTCCACTGGACCAGGGGGTTATTCATAGAAGCAGAGAGCAGCAGGGCTGGAAGGGACCTTCTGAGATCATCTAGCTCAACCCTCTGCCTGAAGGAAGCCTCTGCCCCAGTGTGGCACAGGAGACTGGGCAAGATGGCTTGTGGTCTATTGTCTATGGTCAATGGCCAGTCTTATGGTCTGGCCCAGTAAATGGCAGTGCTGATGTTCTCATATGTTTCACAGTAAGATGGTTCCCTTCGGTAGCTCCTGGGTTCTCCTTCAAACACATAAGCACCTGCTTAACTTTAAGCTGCATGCACAGGGTCCATCGAAGCAGAATGCAGTCACGTCAATGGGTGCAACTAAAAGTCATCACGTGCATAAAGGCTTCCAGGACCTGGGCTTAAATGTGCTTTTGCATGTGTAAGTTAGGGCGGGTAGCGCCTAGGCTGGGTTTTTTGCAGCAAATAAGGCAAGTGCAGAACTGCAGAGGGCACGGTGCCCTGGCTACACCATGCAGATGGCTCAGAGAGGTTGGAGGAGAAGAAAGCACGCGCTGCATCTAGACCAGTGGTTTTCAACCTATGGCCCGTGGACCCCTGGGGTCCTGCAGACTATGTCTAAGGGCTCCAGGAAAGAGGACTGTGATCAATCAGCAGTATGTGAATCCCCACACTTACAGTTCAAAGGGGTCCACACCTCCATTTGAGATTTTGTAGGGGTCTGCAAATGAATAAAGATTGAAAACCCCTGGTCTAGAACCAATGCAACTGGGTGTGCAGTGAAGGGAAGTTTCCCTGTTAGCAAGGCACAGCCATGGTTTTTCTGTGCATCAAACAGGCCTGTTAGAAAGGCGGGGGGTGGATCTGCAATACGACTCTACTGAGCAGGGCAGAGATTTCAAGTTCTCATCCAACGTCGCTCAGCACAGGGCAGCTCCTGCCCACTATGGTGTGGGTGCATGAATAGCACTGAAACAGGATCAGGGCCAGGCGGGCTGGCACTGGCCAGCCCCGTTCATTTAGTCCTGTGTGCTGCACCTGTGCTGGGTGTTGGACTTAGTGGGATAAAGCCCTGCAGCTGGAAGAGGGTAGACAGGCTGAGTGTTTGGAGGGGTTTTCCATCTCTCTCAGAGGCATGAGCGTTGGCTGCAGCCCAGGCTGGGGGTTGTGACTGGGCAGTGCCAATTCTCCTGCTGGGATGTCAACCTGGAGGTCCCTGGCTTGAACACCTTGCCCTTCTGTTCAGGGTCAGACCGATGCCATATTTGGGGTCAGGAAGGACTTTTGCCCCCTGATTAGATTATATGGGCTGTGGGGTTTTGCCTTCCTCTTAGCATGTATTAGCAACTTTTACAGCAAGGGGACATTGGCCACCACGGTCCTCTGCTTTACCTGGGGCAGGTTCGGGTGCTGTGCTTTGCGGCTGTGTGACAGGGTCGCCTATGTAGTTTTAGTAATAGGCTGGACAAGGATTTGCATGGGCTGCTTTGCATTGGGATGACCCTGTCTCTGAACTAGGTGATGGCTGGCACCGCTGGAGGTGCCTTTGAGGCCTGCCTGCCCATGGTAGGGTCCCTAGAGCTCCTCCCTGGAGCTCAGGGGAGCGGATGAGCCAAGGCTCCCAGTCACCCTACAGTGGAGGGGTGAAAGGTGTAGCAAGTGAGAGAGGACCTGTGGCTGCCTTGGCATAGTTAAGGGTGGGAGGAAGGGGTTGGGGTCGGAAGCTGTAGTGACCACTGGGTGTAGTTTTCTTTAGCTCCTGTGTTGGAAGTATCATGTATGGACTAAAAAGAGCCCAGCCTGAATCGTCTCCAGGAGCACGTGCGCAGTCTATCGCTACATGCACGAATGCCTCCTTATTGGCAACGTGGGCTCCAAAACAAGACACAACAGAAGCTCACGGCTGCCGAGGAAAGCTCTCTCTGGGCTGTTTCGGATGACATGGTAGCTGCGTTCTTTATACCTGATGAAGCCGTGTGGGTTTTTTCCCCGAGATATTATTGCACAACACACCTCCAGACACACGGGGCACGAGCATCCACTATACATCGCTTTGTGCTGGATTGATTGCCTATGTGAAGAAAGCCATCAAGGCTGGAGTAGATGCTAATTGTTTGCTTTGGTTCATGCAGAACAGAAGAGGGACTTCATTTAGGAAGGGTCTTGCAGCCTTTGCCCAGCATGACTTGAAACGCATGCTGAGAGGCACTATCACATCTCCTTCGGAAACGGGAGATGTGCTGAGAACTAGGCACTCACAAAAAAGGGTTTCCCTCTTTCGGAGTAGGGCTGAGGGCTGGAAGGGACCTCAGGAGGTCACATCTAGTCCAAACCCCTGCTCCAAGCAGGACCAGCCCCAACTAGATCATCCCAGCCAAGGCTTTGTCTAGCTGGGTCTTAAACATCTCCACAACCTCTCTGGGTCACCTGTTGCAGTGTTTTATTACCCTCCTGGTGAGAAAATACTTCCTAATATCCAACCTCAACTTCCCTTGCTGCAACTTGCAGCCATTGCTCCTTGTCCTGTCATCTGCCCCCCCTGAGAACAGTCCAGCTCCATCCTCTTTGCAACCCCCCTGCAGGGAGTTGAAGGCTACTATTAAATCCCCACTCAGTCTTTCCTTCTCCAGACTAAATGAGCTCAGTTCCCTCAGCCTCTCCTCACAAGTCATGTCCCCCAGCCCCCCAACCATTTTCATTGCCTTTCACTGGACTTTTTCCAATGTGTCCACATCCTTTCTGCAGTGGGGGGCCCAAAACTGGACACAGGACTCCAGATGTGGCCTCACCCACTCTTTTCTAGGTCCTATACAAAAACAATGCTGTGCATGCATGCTGTTTATGGACTTCCACCTGTGCAGCTTTAAAATATCCCATTTTCTTCCCTTGCATGAAGCAGCAGTTCTTGTTGGAAAAGAGCAGGTATGAAAATATATACTGGCCAGTGAGCCTGTGGGCAAATGGCATCAGAGCACCGGGCACTCGTGAATGTGGTACAAAGTGTGCTAGCCAGTGCTTAGCAGCCAGGTCATTATTACAGCTTACTAATGGCCTTGCCTAGTGGTTGGCAGCACCTCTGGATGTAGAGGATGCCTGTGCAGGGGGGGAAGAATTGCTGCAAGAGACAAACTGGGTCAAATCAGCCTGGGCGGATGTGGAGCA